AGCATGACTTACCACAGTTGATCTTGATCTTGATCACCTGGCTGCCATAGTGCTTATCAGGTTTCTCCACTATAAAGTTACTCTTTTTTCCCCCTCTTTCCCATACTATATTCTTTGATACCTCAAGTTTTACAGGCATTGACTAATAAATCTCATACTTCTAATTCTGTCTTGACATTGACTTCAGGAGGACATGAACAGGCACAGTTGGTTTCACTAGTGATCCAATGAAGCAAGTGGCAAGAAATCATGATCTCTTGCTTAGTTACTGGAACTGAGCCAGTTTTTACACAGGAAACCACTGAAGAGGTGATTAAGTTCCTATACTAGGCCACTAGTATGTACTTTAAAGATTTTCTGAGCATTTTCCAAAAGGAACCCATGGACATTTACTTGAATGAATATATATTTGAAGGGAGGAATATCCACACATTTGGGAACTATTAGACACATGATCTGAGTTGACACTGAACCAAAGCATCATTATGGGATCAAATCCAAGTGGGACCACAGGGCATGAGTATGCTACATGAGCAGATAACCTAGACCTCCATCTCACCCACCAATGTTTTAACAGAACTCAATTCACACTTGTGACTATATGGCGGGGGGGGGAAGTCCTGAACCTCTAGGTAAAGGTAATTTTTGAAAGCCAAATGTTAATTTATCAATCAGTTGGTCCAAAATGTGGTGCAAGCAGAAAATGGACAATAACTGCATTATAGCCGGAAAGTCAGCGGTAAGAGAAAATCTTCAGGGTGGAGCTTTGAATGGTACCTGACTATCCACTTTGTATGGAAGTACAAGTGGCTTGACATGAGAATCAATATGATCACATGGACCATAGCAAATATCTAGTCTTGGGTTGGGAGTTTGGAAGTAAAAGGATTGAAAGGTAAGAAATAAGAAGATCTGGGGCAGAGACATATGAATGGAAATAAAGAAGTGGGAATGGTAGGCAGACTTTTTTTTTTTTTTAACAGATTATTGCCCACCATATGCATCAAATGACAAAGTAGACAAAATAATTCATCAATTTACATTTGCTAGACTTTGTCTTTTGCCCACCTAGAATTAGTATGATGGACAGACAAATGGAATGCATGGATGCCACATACAGATCCAGCTGCATAGACTTTCATTTATCAGTGTTGTTCCAGGTACCTCTGTATATAGAATCTACCAACAATGGAGATGAATTCTGGGTCTCTAACATGGCACTATTGTTTGAGGAGACCAACTAGCACTTGGTGGCAAGTTGACTGCTTTGGGCTCCTTTCATTCTGGAAAAGCCAGTGGTTCATTCTCACTGAAATAGACACCTATTCTGACATCTTTCCTAGGTATAGGTGTGACTTTCCTGCCCCAAGAGTCTTAGCCAACACCACCATGTATGGGTTTCCTGAGGGAATAGAACACTACACAAGCTAGCATTCCATAAGATGTCTTACTGCAATGTTGAAGTCTATCAGATCTGTTTAATAACAGGAATATCAATAGTATTTCTCAGATTTTAAATATTTTTAGAGATCTTGTCTAATACTGCCCATAATCAAGTTCCCTCACTCAGGCGGTACTTTGAAATTGAGGGGGCATGTGTTTTTGGCAATTCCTTTTTCTATGGAATGGTAAGAAAATGTCCGATGTCCTCCACTCTGCCCCAGCCCATCACTTTTGGCCAACCTGGTTTCCCATCAACATTATGTTGAATGTTGTGGATGGGGTTCATGGCTATGCTAAATAATTGCAAATCCTCCTACTCCCTCTAGAGTCACCAAATCCTTATGACTCTATCTAGTTCCTTCCCTATTGCTGTGCTGTTCCTTGTGAACATTCTGTATTCATTTTGTTCTTCCCCAGCCTCCCTTTGTGTACTGTCTATTATCATCCAGTTCTACAGTTCATTGCTGTGGGGAGTTAAGGAACCTATAGAAAGCCCAACAATCTTTATCTAGTTTTAAGAAATAATGTACTTGATCCTTGATCATTTAAATCAAGGACTCAGGATAGCGTTGGATCACCTAATATTTTGTTAGTATTTATTGACTAAGTTTACTGACTCTTTGACACTTTTTCAAACCCTTAGTCAAACCAAGGGCAACTACATACTACACATAATGTTGCTGGAAATCACTTTACTAGGGCCAGGAACATTTTAACAGTCTTAGAGTTTTATAATGCAGAATAGAATATATGGTACTTTAAGTACTCTTTCTCCACTCAAGACCAGTTGGGTCAGAATACCCTGGTCAAAATATATTCCTGAAACTCAGTGCCATGGAAACTGAGTAAGGGTAATTTTCCCTGACACCTCTGAGATTCATACTAATGATCCCTTATGTAGGGAGTCAACCTATAACTTGTGTAATAAAGTAAGCATTCTAAGCACATAGGGTGTATGGTTCTGGGAGAGAGAGATGGTATGATACCAAGAACCAAGACTTAGGAAATAAAACTTAAAAAGACACCCCATTCTTTGACCACTTGATGCTATAAAGGATCTCTACATATTCAGTTTAAGTGCCATTATTGCTAATGCTGTTTCAGAGTAATGGACATTTTATTTATTTATTTTTAAGATTTTTATTTATTTATTTGACAGAGAGAGAGAGAGAGAGAGCACATAAGCAGGGGGGAATGACAGGTAGAAGGAGAGGAAGAAGTAGGCTGCTTGCTGAGCAGGGAGCCTGATATGGGGCTGCATCTCAGGACCCTGGGGTCATGACCTGAACCAAAGGCAGCTGAGCCATCCAGGTGCCCAATAAATGACATTTTGATGAAAATATCTTTATACTATGAATGTCCTATCAATTGAGTCAGTTACAGAATCCTATTCAAAATAACCCAAGGAAAACTTACTGGATGGAAATAGGGTATACTCTGGAAAAAAAAAAAAAAATACGTGTGAAAGGTTGGGATAAAACTAAGCATCAGAGACAACAACCTTTCACTGCTTCTCTGTTGGTATTCATTCTTTCTTTCCATGCAGTCTGCTAAACAGCCTCAGAGATTTACATATTACAACTTTTGCCATCAAGGAGAATCTCATTTGAAAGTCTGTCTGGATCTCCAAGCCAAAAACTATGATTGCGCCCATCTGTGCTTAGTAGACCATCTCCAAAGTAAGAAGACAGAAGCTCAAAAGCAAAATGATGGTTCCCATGGTAACTTGTGGATATAAAAAGGTGAAGCAAGAAGGGTAGGAAAGAAAATGAGAGAACAATTTTTAGAAAAATGAGAAATTAGGGAAATACAATAACATCTACAATACATTCATTATTTACACATATCTGGGGTGGAGATAAGCCAACAGCGGAATTTTTCAAACTTGGCACTGATGATATTTTGGACAGGATAATTCTTTGCTGCGGGGGCTGTCCTAGGCATTATAAGATTGTTACCAGCATTCCTGGCCTCTTCCCACTAGATACCAGTAGCACCTTCCTGGTCACAGCTTCAATAATGTTTCCAGATTTTTCCAAATGTCCCTGGAAGGGAGGTGACAAAATTGCCCCCAGAGAAGAACCACTGGCTTATAGCAATTATATTCCATGAAATTAGCTGGAGAATATGTTGAAGAGTAAAGTTAGATAGGTAGAAGTTAGATATACAAATATATAAGTTCGTCATAGTGGGAACTGAACATGGGATCATGAAGAATTTATACTTGTAAATGCCTCAGAATGTCCGGAAATAAATTTGTTTTGAGTCCTAGGTTGTAACACTTCACAAACCCGAGATCAGTCTTCTCATTTTAAAAATGGAAGCAATATCAACTCTACAGAGTGGTTTTGGAAATTAAAAAATTATGTGAAACCACCTTGGAAGCTGTGAAATAGTATATAAATATCAGAAAATACTAATAAATAAAATCATTGTAGAGAACCAGCCTTTTTCACTACCTAAGGCTTTTTCTTAGGAAGCTGGTTAGAAAAGAGGCTGACTACATAGAAATTACATAAATGTAGGGCTATATTGTATAATTCTCATCTTGCCCCGTTTAAGAATAGGCTTTTAATATAATAAAGTTTAAAAATATGGAGTTTATACAATTTGATGTGTGCTATGTTAGGTATTTTTATTCAGATCACTTACTAGTACTACAAATAGTAAGTAGTTAATTTATATTACCAATTCGTGAACTTTTACTACATATTAAATAACTACAAGCAAATAACTTTTTAAATTTTTATTTTATTTTACCACATAAATTTGGAAGCAGCCAAATTGCTCAATCACTAATAATTAAACTTTTGACATTTATTTGTCCTTGGTGGCAATAAATTATATAGCCTAATAAAGAATTACAACAAGGCTTTAATGAAATATCAAACATGACGTAGAAATAAAAATTTGTCTCCTAACAGCATGTACAGTACCACTTAAACTATTTCCCAAACACACACAATACAAATATACATAATGATATTCAATGCCTTGATAGCTCATGGTCAATATCATCACCACCATCATCAACACTATCAATAACAACTATAATAGTAATTAATCGATTTTAAATAAAATAAAAAAATAACAACTCTAAGCGTAATGATAAAAATAACAAAACCAAAAGTTATTAAATGGTTATCTTGAGTCGGAATGATCCTAAGCACATTAACATGTATATTCTTAATACTTGAGAAACTTATTAACCCATTTAAGAAATATTTAAAACACAGAGATAGACATTTAGAAAATGGGAATTCCTTCCTTTATAAGGATAACACAGTAAAATCTTAAAAGTAATTAGACTGGTCAAATCTTTTTTACTACTTCTGTCATCAGGTCTTTACCTACTCTTAGTGTCTGAGAACTTGCCTTACAATACTAACTATAAAATACATGTTTTTGTTAGTTTGTTTCTATGTTTTTCAAATTTAAATTTGTTGAGTAAATATAAGAAAAAGAAGAGAATAAAAGGTATTGCAGTAATGGTTTGTACATATTCTTTTTTATTAAAGCTCAGTGTTTTATTTTTTGCTTTTACTTATTTATTTATTTTTTGTATTACACTTTTGTCTTATGGTGGTGGTAAATCTTCATCCTCCACTGCCTCCTTCTCCTTCTTTTCCTGTTCTTCACCCTCTTCCTCCCCTTCCTCCTCTTTACCCCCTTCCTCTTCCTCTTCCTTTTCTTTATATTCTTCCTCTTCCTCCACGTCTTCCTCCACCTTTGCCCTGTCTTCTTCCTCCATCTCCTCTTCCTTTTCCTGTAACTGTTCTGGCTCTACCTCAGTTAGATCAGAGGCAAGCATCATTTCTTCTTCCAGTAATATATTTGGAAACCGAGACTGTATTATCAAAACAACTATGATACATATTGAAAAACACAACATTCTCAGAAAGAAAATAAATAAGCACAGTGGATCACACACAATTGGCCGAGGAACTTCCCATCTGGGATACCAAAATCGGTAATCTGTAAATAAAGAAGCAAAATTGAAAGCTGGGTTTCATATAAAGTAGTTAAATTGTCCAAGAAATAAAGGACGACAATACATACATACGGATTGGTCACGATCTGCATTACCTAAAAAGAAAAAGAAAGTCCATAAAGAATTATATAAAATTCCTTCTTTCTCTAGAAATAAAATAATTTTTCTAAAAATAATGACATTATTCTCCTAGTCCTCAGGTATCATGCTGCCATCTTTGATGTGCTTCCTCCAAAGTAGCCCATCACAAAATATAATACATTCTCTTCCAGTAAAAGTCAGCCGAGTCTGCTAGGGGGAACATAGAAGTATGGGAATGAAGACATGTGGATTCTATTACTAATTCTGTCCCTAAATCATTGTCACTTTGTATGAATCATTTCACTTCTGTCCTGTAAAGATTTTTCCAGCTTCAACATTCTAGGATTTTATAATATCTCTTACATGCATCTCTCTTTTTTCCCCAGATCATTCCAAATTAATCTTCTGAATATACTCATTTTCCTCATCTAATTCTTATTTTCAGGAGCTTTTGGTTGTTCTTCATTTCACTGCAAAGTAAACTATACAGCCTGGTATAGAGTTTATTGTTTCTGCTATCTAGCCCAAAGTTATCATAACACTTCCCAGGAAATAAATTTCCTTCGCTCTGCTGACTGGGGCAGAGAGGATCAAAAAATCATTCCTGGATTCCATTAGGAAGGAGAGTTGAGGATAAATGAGTTCTCACACATAGAGGCCCAATGGGAACCAGAGGCTTTGTCTTGTAATTGACACTAACCTTATAAGAAAATTTAGAAATCACTCTTCAGAAAATCCTAGGGATGAACTGACCAATTGGATCTTTGACGTTATTTTAGCCTTTTATGCTTGTCTTATTTTACTTCATATTTTATACAATGATTTCTATTTGGCACTCCTTTAAAATTTTTTTTTTACCACAAAGTCTATATTTTCTCTACTTCATTCTGTGTATGTGTAGCTATTGATCACTTAGTTTGAGCTATGATGTAATTAGCATAATTCTTATTTAGATTTTCCTTCATTTGTCATCACTATTTTCCATTATTACATTCTTCTTTTACTTTTGCACTTGATTGAATATATTAAATACATTTAAATCTATTTACATCTCTATTGTTTGATTTATCAGTTTTAAATAATTTCTTTTGGCCCCTTGCTACGAAAGATGGGGAAATTAAGCACATTTTTCTATCTCTCTCTTCTTCTGCCAAGTTTTATTAATTATATCATTTTATATTGTCAAAATTTATTATATTTACATTTGTTTTGTAATTATAGCCTTAAGAATTTAGTCTTTGTCTATTGATTAAACTATGCTTATAGATAGTTTTTCCAGTGTAGCTTTTCATTTTCCATTCATCTCTTCTTTTTGGTGAAAGCCATCTTCTAGGGGTTTATTGAGAAAGTGCTTGTGAGAACTATGTACCACAAATTTGGGTTCCCACAAGATTTGTTTATCTGCTTGTATTTGAATAATAGGTTTGGCTGAATTTATGTGCAGCATTAAGAACAATATAGGAATTATTCCACTGTCTCTTGGCATTAACTCTTATTACAGAAAAGTTTGACACCAGCCAAAATATGCAGGATCGTCAATTGCCAATGCAGCATTCTATCACACTGGTGTCAACTTGATCCTGTGTTGCAGACCTGAAATCGGGAACTAACTACCTTTCTGTGAATTACTTCCTCTGTATAGCTCCAAGTTAGAGTTTGCCAATGACAGGAACGCATGTGAAATTTGGAAGATTTAAGAGAAGAAGAAACTGTTATTATTCTCCATGGGTGGTTGTTCGCCAGATACCTGAACAGATGTGAGATTCCCAGTGGCTGCTTGGTAGAATAGGAAACTACCTGCTTTGCTGTCAAATACTGAGACCGTTTGGTGGGAGCTTTTTCAAAGATTCTTGAGAATTGCAGCAATTTTCTTGTAAGCTTTTGAGAACCACCTATTTTGGTGCTTCAAGCTAAGAGGTTTTCTGTTTCTGCTTCTTTGACCTTCTAACTATAGTTTCTCTGCCTTTTCATAGCAACTTCTGTGATCTTTGCTCCCTTAGAGTTTACACCATTCATGTGAGCTATGTTCAACACTGTATTGTCAGAATATTTAAAGTGGCTGTTTTCCTGACTCAACCCAGACTATTAAACTCCAATGAATTATTTTACATTTTGGTTTGGATGCTTAAAGGATTCTTTACTTTCCTCTAATTTGCATCACTTTTTCCTGGCACATATTATCCATTTTCTTTCTTTCTTTTTTTTAATCTTTAAAAGGTTGTTTTTATTTTATTTATTTATTTATTATTTATTTATTTTCAATGGAGGTATAATTGACATATAACATTATATTAGTTTTGGGTATACAACAAAATGATTTGGTATTTGTATTTATTGTGAAATGATCACCACAGTAAATCTAGTGAACATCTGTCATCATATATAGTAATAAAAGTTTCTTCTTGTGATAAGAATTTTTAAGTTCTACTCTCTTAGTAACTTTCAAATATGCAATACATTATTATTAACTATAGTTGCTATGCTGTACATTACATCCTCATGAGTTATTTATTTTATAATTAGAAGTTGAAGTTTCTACCTTTGAGTGTCTTTACCCATTTTGCCCACTGCCCACCTCGACCCCTGGCAACAATCAATCTATCCTCTGTATCTATAAGCTTGGTTTTTGTGTGTTGGTTTTTCGTTTTACATTAAGTAAGATCATATGGTATCTTTCTTTCTCTGACATTTCACTTAGCAAAATGCCCTCAGGGGCCATCCATTTTGTCACAAATGGCAAGATTTCATTTTTTTAATATGGCTGAATACTATTCCATTTATGTGTGTAATGATAGATACAGATATAACACATTTTCTTTACCCATTCACCCATTTAATGGATACTTAGGTTCTTCCCACATCTTGGCTATTGTAAATAAAGTTGCAATGAACACGTGGGTGCATATATGTTTTTGAGTTACTGTTTTCATTTTCTTCAAATAAACACCCAGAAGTTAAATTACTGGATCATGTGGTTCATTTTTGATTTTTTAAGGAACCTCTTACTTTTTTCCAGCTTACGTTCCATAGTAGGCATTCAATGTCTAGATTCAAGAATTTCTATTTCTGGTTTTTAAAAAATTATTTCTTTAAATACCTGTATATCTATCTATTGCTTTGTTTTCTACTCTATTATTTTTGTTCTGGTCTTCAGGGGCTCCAATTATTCGCATAAGAAATCAGATTTATTGGTGCTTTCTTATAATTTTCTTTTTAATCTTTTAAATTTCTTGCATTTCTTAGACTTGACGTCCCGATCCCTTACTGTATTTTCCAGTATTTTTGGTTCCTTGTGTTGTTTTCAATGTGGCTTTTCAGTTCTTCATAAGTATATTTGAGATATACTAAAAATATTTTTGTTTACCTGAATTTCAAATTTAATTGAGCACCCTGTATTTAATCTGGCAACCTACAGGCTGATCCTCCACTTGGACCCCATCCCACATGGCTCTGATTTTGAAACCCAGATTCAATGTTCTCCCATATTGCCAAGTCAGTAAGAACACTTTAATGAAAGGGAACACTGGGGTATCTTCTTCTCCTTGTCCCTCTTGCACTGTTCCCGCCATTCTCTTTCAGTATTTCTCATTTTTTTTCCCCCCACCCCTAGGATCCTATTCTTAGTATACTACTCTTCTTTCTCTGTGTGTTTTACCTGGATGAGTTATTCCTTTTTTATATTTTTAGACTTGTCTATAAGCTCTTGATTCTGAAATAGAGCCTTGAAATATACCCTAAGCTTATGAGTCTTACCTACTCAGATATCAAATAGGTATTTAAAGCTAATAATGATCAAAACCCATCATCTATTTTCCATAGCTTTCTCTCTTCATATAATTCATATCTCAATCCATTGCACCAAATCTGGTATTTATATTAGACTCTTTTTCTCATCACTATGTCAAATTATTCTCTAAGATTTGTTAATTTTGCCCCATAAATATTAATCAAATTTATCTCATCACCTTCATTTCTCTTACAAATACTCCAGTATGAACCTTATCTCTTCCCTGAACTATAACAAAAAATTTCAAATTGATTTGCTTTCCTTAGGTTTTGCATTAACAACTTTTTTTAATTTAAAAGAATCCCTCCTTCTGTGTGGGGTTGGCTTAATTTGTTGTTGATTCTCCAGTTCTTTAAGGTGTAAAGAGAGCTGGTGTATTCTGGATTTTTCAATTTTTTTGAGGGAGGCTTGGATGGCTATGTATTTCCCCCTTAAGACTGCCTTTGCTGTATCCCATAGGTTTGGGACCGAAGTGTCTTCATTCTCGTTGGTTTCCATGAATTGTTTAAGTTCTTCTTTGATTTATTGGTTGATCCAAACATTCTTAAGCAAGGTGGTCTTTAGCTTTCAAGTGTTTGAATTCCTTCCAAACTTTTTCCTGTGGTTGAGTTCCAGTTTCAAAGCACTGTGGTCTGAGAATATTCAGGGAATAATCTCAATGTTTTGGTATTGGTTGAGCCCTGATTTGTGAGCCAGTATGTGTCTATTCTGGAGAAAGTTCCATGTGCACTTGAAAGGAATGAGTATTCTGTTGTTTTAGGGTGGAATGTTCTGTATATATCTATGAGGTCCATCTGGTCCAATGTGTCATTCAATGCTCTTGTTTCCTCATTGATTTTCTTCTTGGATGATCTATTACTGAGAGTGGTGTGTTAAGATCCCCTTCTATTAATGTATTCATATCAATATGACTCTTTATCTTGATTAACAGTTGTCTTATGTAGTTGGCT